TTATTATTATTCTTATTATTATTCTTATTATTATTATTATTCTTATTATTCTTATTATTATTATTATTCGTATTATGTTTATTCTTCTTCTCCTTCGTCGTCTTCTTATTATACTTCTTCTGATTATTCGTATTATTCTTATTATTCTTAGTATTCTTAGTATTCTTATTATTCTTCGTATTATTGTTCTTATTATTATTATTCTTCTTATTATTATTTTTCGTTTTCTTCTTCTTCTTCGTCTTCTTCTTATTCTTATTAGTATTCTTATTATTCTTATTATTCGTCTTCTTCTTCTTATTATTATTTTTCTTATTCTTATTATTCTTCTTATTATTCTTATTATTCTTCTCCATGATCATCATCATCATCATCATCATCATCATCATCATCATCATCATCATCATCATCATCATCATCATAATCATCATCATCATCATCAGCATCATCATCATCATCATCATCATCATCATCATCAGCATCATCATCATCATCATCATCCAGCAGCAGCAGCATCATCATCATCATCATCATCATCATCATCATCATCATCATCATCATCATCATCATCATAATCATCATCGTCATCATCATCATATGCATCAGCATCAGCATCAGCATCATCATCATCAGCATCATCAGCAGCATCATCAGCATCATCATCATCATCATCACCATCATCATCATCATCATCATCATCAGCATCATCCTCATCCTCATCCTCATCCTCATCCTCATCATCATCATCATCATCATCAGCATGTTCATCATCATCATCAGCATCATCATCATCATCATCGTCATCGTCATCATCATCATCATCATCATCGTCATCGTCATCATCATCATCATCATCATCATCAGCATCATCATAATCATTATCAGCATCATCATCAGCAGCATCATCAGCATCAGCATCATCATCATTAACATCAGCATCATCATCATCAGCATCAGCATCATCATCATCATCATCATCATCATCATCATCGTCAGCACCAGCATCATCATCATCAGCAGCAGCATCACCATCATCATCAGCAGCAGCATCAGCATCATCATCAGCATCATCATCAACATCAGCATCATCATCATAATCATCATCAGCAGCATCATCGTCCTCATCATCAGCATCATCATCCTCATCAGCATCATCATCATTATCATCCTCATCCTCATCATCACCACCATCATCACCGTAATCATAATAATCATCATCATCAGCAGCATTATAATCAGCATCATCATCACCATGATCAGCAGCAGCAGCATCCTTATCATCATATTCATCATCATCATCGTCATCATCAGCATCATCATCATCATCCGCAGCATCAGCAGCATCAGCATCATCATCATCATCATCACCATCAGCATCATCCTCATCCTCATCCTCCTCCTCATCATCAGCAGCATCATCAGCATCATCATCGGCATCATCATCAGCAGCATCATCATCATCAGCATCAGCATCGTCATTATCATCAGCATCATCAGCATCATCATCAGCATCATCATCATCATCATCCCCCCAGCCTCCTCCTCCTCCCCCTCCTCCTCCTCCTCCTCATCCTCCTCCTGATCCCCCTCCCCCTGGGTTGACGAAAGAACATCACGCACTCAAGCCTGTAGGGAGGAGGAGTGGGGAACGGCAAGGCGATGAAGGCGCTGTAGGAATGGGCGCGAATCGTCGGACCCCGAGGGGGGCTCCCGTTCGAGCGAGGACCCCGTCCGACAACACACCTTTTTCCGTCGCAGCGCAGCAGAGGCGACTCGCACGCGCGCTCGAGTTAGCTGGGAGAGGACGAGCGAAGTGTCCGGCGGCACGAGGGGGGAGGAGGGGGCGGAGAGCGGCCGCAGAGCCGGGAGGAAGAGGGAGGGCACTCGCTGCGCCAAGGTGCTCGACAGGAGTGGCCGGTGCTGCCAGCCCATGCGGAGTAGCCTGGCAGCGGTCGCGGAGCGACATCGCGGTCACACCCAGGGGCCGAGGCAGGGGCTGCAGGCGCGGGAAGGCGTAGCTCAAGTGGTGGCAACACGGGAGGACTTGCGAGCGGACCCACAGCAGCGAGAGCGGGGGCATCGGAGGTGTTCCGATAGCCGTGGAGCCAGCACCTGCTGTAGGGGCACGGCGTGCGCGGGATGCGGGCGTCGCCGAGGCGACGAGGTGCTGGGTCCGATAGGCCATGCAGCGAGATGCTGTCGAGGTGCCACTCGAGCGGGTGCGCAGCAGGGACGCAGCCACTGAACTGCTGCAGGACTGCTGCAGGGCCACGGGCTGCGGAGCTGCGCCGGCTGACCGGCCGAGACGGGCGAGGCGGGCCCCAGCCGATCAAGAGCACACGGCGGCGGGGCGGGGAGCGGGGAGGGGCAGGGCGCCGAACTGTCATGGCAACGACCTTGCAGACGTGCTGCAGCGGATGCTCGGGCGGATTTCTGTCAAGGCAGAACCCCGAGACGGCGAGCGAAAAACGGAGCGAATTTCGCGCGCATTGTTGTTCTAGTCTTCATCCCTGGCCAAAAAAACCCGCACGAAATTCACCTCGAAATCCGGAACGAAATTCTCCGGGCCACTCCAGGCCAATCCTGTCGTCTTCCGAATGAGAAATCCGCTCTGCGATGTTGGCGCAATGAGACCTGGCCAAGGCGCGCATCGCAGCCGGGAGCGCCAGGAGCGCCCGGCCGCAGGCCCGGCCAGGCGCGGACGCCCGGCTGCAGTATGTAGCAGCGGGGCAGGCGACCCGGCGGAGCCAGGCAGGCGCCTCCCGGCGCGCAGCAGCCAAAGGCCGCCCGGGGGGGCGGCACTGGCGTCAGGTCGGGCATGTCCCCCTACAGGCCGATTCTGAACGAGAAATGAAAAAAATATTCAAAAAAATGATCCCACGAAAATCTTCGAAAATACTGAAAGAAAATCGTCACCATACTATTCTTCACTATTTTTTTTCAAAATTCCTTCTGTAGAGGGACACGCCCGACTCAACACTGGCGAGGCGCACGGCTGACGGGAGGCAGCAGGGGCGGGAGGCGCCACCAGAAGCGGCACTGGGGCCACACCAGCGCCAGACAGGAGCCCTCCAACGGGCCAAAGAGAGTCGACGCGCCAGCCAGGAGCACAGCAACAAGGTCACTGAAGCACCCAGCATGTCATTGAACCGCCCCACCTGATCGGTGCACATACTTTGGCGGCGCGCACAGGGGGGTAGGGGGAGGGGGGAAGGCTTCTTAGAAGCACCCCTGCTTCTTAGAAGGCGCCGCCCTTACATGTATAGAGAAGGCCCGTGCTTTCTAAGAAGCAGGGGTGCTTCTAAGAAGCCTTCCCCCCCCCCCCCCCCGTGCGCGTGGCCGAATGCATCGGTGGCAGCACCCACCTGGGGGGATGATGGGCGCTCCAGCCGGCCCACGCAGGCCGCCTTAGTGGCAGCGCCCACCTGGGGGGGCGGGCACTCCGGCCGGGAACGAGGGGAGCATCCATTTGGGGGGGGGGGGGGGGGGCGCCATCTGGGGGGCAGGGGGGGGGGGGGGCGGAGCCCGCCGCGCTCTCGCGGGACGCGAGAGGGAAGGCGTGCCGCCCGATGGGGCAGCACGCGGGGGGAGGCGCCCGATCGGTGCACGGACGCTGAGAGGGGGCGGGGGGCCCAGGGCAGGCCCGCCCGCAAGTCGTCGCAGGCGCCCGGAGGTGCTGCCAGATCAGGCCCCCGACGGCCCTGCGAGTGCCCACCTCGGGCAGGAGGCCGTGGAGGTCGGGGCCAGGCGAGTCGCGCCTCAGGCTGCGGTCGGGATGCGACCTTGGTCGCAGGCCGGGTGGCAGGGCACCCGCTGGCCGCTGAGGAGCACCCCGTGAGCGATCTGAGGCCGCACAGCCCGGCTGCGGGGCGAGCCCCACAGGGCCGGATCCCCCGCAGGCGGGACGGGTCCCTGGCTGGCCAGGAGGCGCCGCTGGCACGCTTGCCTCCCTGGCATTTCCCCCCACATGCACCCGTGAAGGCGATGCAGGCGCTGTAGGCAGAGGCGCGAATAGTCGGACCCCGAAGGGGGCTCCCGTTCGAGCGGGGATCTCCATCCGACAACACACACACACACACACACATCCCAGAGCACACCCCAGAATTCCACCACTGGAAATCTCGAGGGTCGCATAGATATGGCTGCTGGCTGCCAGCCCGTGAAGACGCTGGATGGGGTATTTATCAAGGCGGGGATTGACCTTCCGACGCAGCTTCCTCCTCCTCCTCCTCATCCTCCTCCTCATCCTCCTCCTCCAAATCCTCCGCTTCCTCCAAGCGACCTCACGTACCCACTCACCCACCCGGCGGATCCAGGGGGGGAGGGGGAGGGGGGGGGAGCGATTATTGTATGTCCCATCCAGAATGGGGGGGGCCTGGCTCAGGGAGGAAAAGCCTCGACCCGGAATCGGCGACACGTCGCCAATAGATCAGCGATAGGCCCTCGATAGCGAAAGCGCTTCCCGCTGCCTATTCCGCCGGCCCCCTTGGGGGCTAACAGGCTGCGAGGCGAAGGATCCCCTGCCACCTGCAACAGTTCCAGCGCGAGGGTTCCGAATGTTATAGCTCTAGATTTTCCGGTTCCAATAATTGGAAACGGTTGAAGAGCACGCGAGGACCCCAGCCCGAACAGCGCCCCAATGCCACGTCGGAATCTCGTTGCCTGAATATCTCGGGGGCCCTGGGAGACGCAAATGGATTGCCCCCCGCAAACATGCGCCGACCCTCTCGGCGTATGTGAGAGGCCGAGCGAGACCCTTGCAAAGTCAGGCATGTCGAAAAATTACCAGCCAAGCCCGAGCTCCGAAGGGAGACCGCCACAAGTCACCAGCCCGAAAGAAGCGCTGCAATGTCGCCAGCCCGAGGGGAGCAGCCGCAAGTCGTAATCAAGTCCAAAGGAATCCCCTTCCTTTTGATCTCCTCCCGCCAGGGGGGGGGATTCGAGGGGCACCCCAGGGGGGGTGGCTGGGGGGGTCCTCCTTCCACCGCCCCCGCCTGTTCATGATCATCTTCAGCCTCGTTCCCATCCTGACTGGCACACGGTCCCACCAAGCCAGCACGAGGATCCCGCCAAGGGGCAAAAAGCCGGAGAGGAAAACATGTGGAAAAAAAGAAGCGGCTCACTTCTTCTTCTGGGCGTCAGCGTCGGTATTCTTGTGGGCCGTGTGGTCCGTCGGCTTCTTGTACATCCGGAGATCCATGACCCTGGGCGCAGCGAGCAGCACTCGGCACCGGTCCTCCTGCAGCGCCCTCTCCTGTCGTGCCTCCCCCTGCTCCCGACGGGGCGACAGGGGGGGGGGGGCAAAGGCAAGCCGGAGAGGAGTCTTCCCCCCTGACCCCAGACCCCCGACGTCATGCCTCTCTCACGCCGAGGACCCCCCCAAAGATCTGGACCCCCTCGCCCGGGCCCGTCCTTCGTCCCGACCCGGTCTGTCGACGGGGCCGGGGCCTGGTGAAGCAGGAAGCGGGGAGCAGGAAGCGCTGCGGGGGGACGGCGCCCCGCGCCCGCTGAACCTCGTTCTATATATATATATATATAGGATATTCATGTGTACATATATATATATATATATATATATGTGTGTGTGGCTTGTTATGCTATTCCTATGCTTTACATATTTTCTCCCCCGGGGGGGAAACAAACTAAGAACAACAAAAAAGACAAAATTGAATACATATATATATATACATTATAAGCAAAAAAACAAAACAATAAAAAAAACAAAAAAAAAAAAAAAAAAAAAAAAAAAAAAAAAAAAAAAAAAAAAAAAAAAAAAAAAAAAAAAAAAAAAAAAAAAAAAAAAAAAAAAAAACGCTCGCGGGGGCGCCTGGTCAGACAGACACCGTCCGGGCGCGCGGGGCCAGGGCCCCCCTCGCGCGAGGGCGGCCGAGCTCTGCCGCGGGGGGGCCTCTCCGCCCGCGGCGCCTCTTGCGGCGCGGCGCGAAGGGGGGGCCTGGCCCTCCGGCCGCCCCGGGCCCCCCTCCAGGCCAGTGAGCGTTCTCTCATATTCGGCGCGGGGGTAGAACCAAGTTGCGTCCCCAATCCGTAGGCGTGTGAGGACACCACGCAGCTCGAAGAGCTGCGGCGACCGTTGTTCAGGAGCGGTCCCTCCCGGCCCCACACGTAACGTCAGGGCATAGCATCACATGCAAATGCGTCATATGGTGTACCCGGCCCGTCTCTTATGTTCGGCGTTTCGGCATCGGGCGGACGGGGAGGGTGGAGTGTTAGGAGACAACTACTGGAAGGTTTTCGTCGGAAGGATGAAAGAGGATTGAGCCCCATGGGGGGGCTGTTACGCCAGAGTGAGCCTCGGATCAAGCCCGATTCAGCGGGATTGAGCGGGATGAAGCCGGATTAAGCGGGATTAAGCAGGATTTCGGACCAGGGCAAAATCAGAATTTGACCTCCCAGGAGTTGCATCCGAAGCTTCTGAGGTGGAGTGTGCGCAGACCCCAATCTGGGAGACGCATTCGCCCGGGAGCCTTTCCGAAGACATAGATCATCGGCGCACCTGAATAGTACAAGTATCGCTCTCCCCTGGGCTACTCGCCCCTATCGTCGCCTCCGAGGGTGCTCCTCGGCACGGGCTCCCGCTGCAGCCGCTCGGAGGCCGTGCGGAGACGTCTCCCGGCTCGGCCGTGGGCCCCCCTGCCCCGGCGCGCGGGGAGCGCGCCAGAGGGGGGGTCCGGCGCCGATGCGGGCAAATCTGCGCGGACCTCCGAGCTGTTGTTGGTTGTCGTTGGTTGGTTGTTGGCTGTTGGTTGTTGGTTGTTGGTTGCTGGTTGTTGGTTGTTGCTTGTTGGTTGTTGGTTGTTGGCTGTTGGTTGTTGGCTGTTGGTTGTTGGTTGTTGGTTGCTGGTTGTTGGTTGGTTGTTGTTGGTTGTTGGTTGTTGTTGGTTGTTGTTGGTTGTTGGTTGTTGGTTGTTGGTTGTAGGTTGTTGTTGTTGTTGGCGTTGTTGTTGGTGTTGTTGGTTGCGTTGTTGTTGGTTGTGTTGTTATAGTTTCTTCTTGGCGGCGAGCGAGGGGGGGAAGTGAGAAGGGGCGGGCCTTCTCAGAGGGCTCGGAGGTCCCTCGGGCTTCTGAGAAGAGATCTGAGCCTTCGCCGAAGACACAGGAAACTTCTCGGAAGGCCCGAGGGCTTCTGAGAAGTCCCGCCGCCTTCTGAGAAGGCCTTCTCCTGCTCACTTCCCCCCCTCGCTCGCCGCCGATCTTCGGCTCGCCTAGGAGTTGGGGCAGCTTCACGGAGCCCTGGTCCGCCGCCGAGAAGCAGAGACAGAAAAGGTTATGGTTGAACACTGGACGCCCCTGCTCTGGCGGACCTCCGAGTTGTTGTGGTTACGTCCTCGTGTGTTCCCCTGCACGTGGAACCACGCTGCGCGGGAGTCCCATGGAGGGGGGGGGGTGGGGGCAGCCGACAGAGGGGAAGAAAACGGGCGCGGCCAAAGAGGGCACGACCGCACGGGGGCGGCGGGAAGTGTGGACGCGCGTGGGCGCACAAACCTGGCCAAGGACGGACCACACCCGCCCTCCTCCTCATCCTCCTCCTCCTCCTCCTCCTCCTCCTCCTGCCTCAGTTCAAGCGGCCCTCATCGACCTTCGGAACGACCAGATAAACCTCGCCGTCGCGAAAGATCTGCTCGATAACTTGTATGCCGATGCCGATAAAGCAATCCACCGAGAAATCCAGAGAGACAAAGCCAGCAACGAGACCAACTGGAAAGAATGGTTTTAAACTAGTATGCAACGAGTTGGCTGGGGGCACGAATGGTCCAAATATGTTTCGTCGTGGAAGCCGCAATACGCTTGCAGGACAGGAGAAGACAAAGGGTCTGGACGGCCCTTCGATATCCTGCAAGCCGGAGCTGAGCGACTATTTGGAACCTGGGACATCTCCCCGCCAGAACACCGAGCCCGAGCACGCCGACCCACTGCCGAAGCGTTCGCCGAGCTGGAGCCCATCACAGCCGCGAAGAGCTTGAAAGCAATTGCGTAAACGCTTCAGCCACGACACGGCCTCCACGCACGACGGCTTCCATCCTGAGGAGGAGGAGGAGGAGGAGGAGGAGGAGGAGAAAGAGGAGGAGGAGGAGGAGGAGAAGGCGGAGGAGGAGGAGGAGGAGGGGGAGGAGGAGGAGGAGGAGGAGGGGAGGAGGAGGAGGAGGAGGAGGAGGAGGAGGAGGAGGAGGAGGAGGAGAAGGATGGGCACTCTGCGCTGCCAGAGCCGAAGGAGCGCTCGAGCTCACCGCCCGCCTCCTCCACGGCCGTGCGAGGCCGTGGGCCTCTCTCTTCCCGGCGCCGTTCGCGCGCGCGGCACGGCCACCGCCCGGGGCCCCGAGGCACTAAGAGCAGCAGGAGGGCTCCCTCCTCCCTCTACCCCCTTGTGCGCACCGCCAAGAAGGGGTCCAGAACTCTGGGGGCCGACGTCATGAAAAAACTATAACGTCGGGGGTCTGGGGACGGAGGTCAATGCAAACGGTCGCTTGTCGCTAAATGTGCCCCTGGCCCAAGGTGCCCCCAGCTTTTCGCTGAAGTTTTCAAGTTTGGAGCCCTGGGGGCCCTCTGGGCCTCGTGAGGGGTGCTCCCTGAGGCCTTGGGGACTCCTCTTTAAATCCTGGGGGCACCTTGGGCCAGGGGCACTTCTGGCACCGAAAACCCCAGCTGCCGAGGCATTGGGCTCATGACCTCTACAGTCGGGGCGTTGACCTACGGAACCCCAAGTAAGGAACAAAGCCCCTGGTCTACATGAGTTAAGACTCGATGTCCAATCGAAAACCGGAAGACAGCCTGAGGCAAGCTGTAAAACAACTAAGTAACACGGAGCCCCTCCCAAGCGAACATGGTTCCTTCTGCAGCGCCCCGACCGTATTTGGAGACTCTGGGCCCGCCTGAGACAGCCAGAAGCCAAAAGGCGGGAACTCGAAAATCGTCGACCCTGCCTCGCCCACCAATCGATGGTCGTGGAACCCTGGAGACGGTGTACTTCCAAGCGTTTCAGGCCGAGTCGGCCCACTGCGAGGGGATCCAGGGATGTACTGCGGTCATCCTCTGGGACCCACCCAACGACGATGAGCATGTAGATAGAGATAAGTAATACTCCCGAGCTGTCTCGACGGGGTACACTCAGGCGATCGCCGTGCTATTATCTGACTAGTACGATGGCCCAAAGCTTGCGGCGAGCCTAGGCCAAGCACTTCTTGTGGGCAGCCCGCAGCATGGCAGACCAGCGGGCTGCAAGTTCGCCGGCTATGTCGCCCAGATGTTTAGCATTGCCCCGCTCGGTGTCTGGGTCCAGGACAATCCGAAAATATACCTCCACATGTTCATAGATGCCCTTCTCCTCCAGGCCCAAGATGAAAACCCCAATAACCTAGTTAAAAACCACTCCGTCGCCGCCTCCTGCCTGAAAGACACGACCAAATAACCTGGGACGCCATATCGATCAGCAGAAGTCCGCCGTCCTGGCTTCATCGATCGTGGCTCGAGATCTCCTCGTAAGATCCTTGGGAGCCCTGGCTGGACCCCAGACCGAGCGAAGAACGGACGCAGCAGCCAACTTAGGCATCGATTTAACGGCAGGAGGCCGAGTACGGCCCCGACAGCGGCGCGCAGTTCTTCGTCAGCGCTTCGCCAAGCTTCACATGAGGCGACGCCGCCCGCAAGCGATCAAGCGGGCGGGCGCCGACATGCGCAAGCTGTACCGCACAGGCCTGGACCAGGCCAACCATTACGGAACCGAGGTGGTAGGCCTAACCAACACCAAGCTTATAATGAGCCAGAACATATATCTCAGTACCGTGGACCCCAGAAGCCACACCAGATCCCGAGCGCTCAGCTCATGCCTCCTTGGGGACCCTTCGTGGAAGGCTGCCTTGGGACCTGTCATATACTGCGGCCTTGCGGTTTGGCGCCCATCTATTCAGCCTGGATTCCTCGGGATGACGCAAGCCGAATCTCAAGAAAGGTTAACAACATCCTGGCCGACCCTCCCACGAAGTGGACATCTGCCCGAGGACCCACAGGAGCCACCTCGGCGGTGGACAAACCTCCCTTTAGTAGACCTCACCTTAGTGAAAACGGCCTGGGACCGAAACCGACGGACCTGGACCCACAAAATGACGGCCGCGACGGCCTCTCGCGAACCGAAAACGGCCAATTCCTTAATCGACGTGTCAGGGTAGGAGGTCTGTCCACCCCCGACCACCATACTGAGCCTTACGAGAACATCCTTGACCCTCAGGAATCCCTTTGAGCCCGTGACCTCGGAGGGCCTGCAGCTTACAGTAATACCCCCAGCCTTGTCACTGCACCGGCCCTGCAGACGTGCTGCAGCGGACTTCTGCGTGGATGTCTGCGCGGATGTTTGCCCGAAGCGGCGAGCGAAAAACGATGTGGATTTCGCGTGGGTCCTTTTTGGTCTTCGTGCTGGGCCAAACAAAAACCGCACGAACTTCACCCCGAAATATCCGGAGCGAAATTCTCCAGGACACCACAGGCCCACCCTATCGTTTTCCGAACGAAATCCGCTCTGCGACGTTGGCGCCATGATACAGCAGTACCCCCAGCCTTGCTGACGTACCGCCGCGAGGAGGCCGGGACGGCGAGCCTAGAGGTGCGCGCGGCTGCCAAAATGGGGCCCGGCCAAGGGGAGGCTAAGCAAGCCCTTGCGGACCCCCTCGGGGAGACGTAAGACTGGGGTACGGGGGACTCGGGTTGGCCTGACGGGGGCCATCATAGAAATGACGAGGCCCAATCTGAAACTTGACGCGGGCTCCCGCTGCAGGCATCCCACGAGAAAGGAACCGTCAAAATCCAGGACGCGCTCGTCAAAAACAAGTCGGCAAACCCGAGTTCCGGCTTACTCGAGTCTTGCGTTTCCCCGACCCTCGCTCAGTGCCAGAAAAGCAGCTTGACGTCCTACCTGACTCAGTGTCTGCGGGCTACGACTAGGCGTGCCAAAGCGGGGCTACGAGATTGACACCACCTGCACGTGCGGGTACGAGACAGATGGCATGAAGTACGGGTTCGACTGCCCCCTGATCTCCAACCTCAAAAGTGAGAGCCCACCCCCCAAGGTGTTGAGCATTTGGGAGGGTACTCCCTAGCCCACGGCTTCCAATTGCAGCCCCAGGCCTGTACAGACAGACCCGAAAATGTCGGTTTCTGCTGAAGGTTTTGGTCCCGAAACGGTGGTCCTCTGGCTGGAGAAGGTTTCGTAGACGGACCGTGTTTCAAACATGGACTGTAGATTCTGGAATCAGACTAGATGGTCAACTGCCGTTCTGGACGAACACGGTGAGTGCTCAGCCCATCTCACTGGCCAAACGCCGCCAACGTCGCGTGCCGTCGAGCACGTCGCTATGGCGATCCGGCACATGTGTCCCCTCCCCACTACCCTCCACTCTGACCACTATGGGGCATAAAAAATATGGCCGGGAGGATTTGTGTAAAGAGGGTGTACGCTGGGCTGGAGCTGCTAGCTAAGAGTCAACATGGTAAGGGGACCCTTCCTAGGATTTGCAAAGTAAAAGCCCATCAGCAGTTAGAAGCCCTAGTTGAGGGCTCCAGGGAAAAGACACCTGGCCAAAGGGAAAAAACACGCACACGCACACACAAAAACACACACACACACACACACACACACACACACACACAAAACACAACACACACACAGTCTGTGGGGAAAAAACACACAGATTGTGAGAAAAAACACACACAGACAGTCTGTGTGCTTTGGTGTGTTTTTTCCCACAGAGTCTGTGTGAGTTTTTTGTGTTCTTTCCCACAGAGACTGCTGGCAGACTGACCCAGAGCTGCCGCTGCCACAGCAGGCGGCCCGGCCGAGGCCGAGGCCCGGGCCTCCTCGGCCGATCGGAGCTTCCCGGTTCGGTTTCTCGCGCTCCCGGCGCGGGCCCTCCGACTTGGCCCGCGCTCGCCCCGGGCCCCCCGAGCGGGAGCCTGGGCTGTGCTTACCGGGAGAATCCTCCCCCCGACCCACTCGTCCCCCCTCTTCAGGCTGCTCATCGTCCTCCCTCTCCTCCTCCCACTCCTCGTTTCCCTCCCTCCATCCTCCTCCTCCTGCTACTCCTCCTCGTCATCAGCATCATCAGCATCATCATCATCATCATCACCACCACCACCATCATCATCAGCATCAGCATCATCAGCACCATCATCATCATCATCATCAGCATCATCAGCAGCATCATCATCAGCATCAGCATCAGCATCAGCATCAGCATCAGCATCAGCATCAGCATCAACAGCAGCATCATCATCATCATCATCATCATCATCATCATCATCAGCAGCAGTAGCAGCAGCATCATCGTCATTCTGGACGGGTCGTGTGCGTGGGGGCAGGGTGGGTGGCACGTCTGGGCAGGTGGGGGGGGTGCAGAAGGGACTGGCCCGTCCTGGGCCGCCTCTCTGCACTGGGGAGGCGGTGGGGGGAAGGCCTCCCCAGGCCCCCCGGGTCAGGCTCTCAGGAAACCACATGCGAACCTTACCCCTGCAGATTAGACTTCGGAGGAACGGGCCAGGGCTCAGGATGGAAAGGATGTCTGCAGCCAGTTGAGCCCCAGCCAGGGCGTCCAATGCCCCAGCGCCGACTGGACCCGCAGGCGTGGGGTTCGCAAGTGGTCACAAAATTCTACTGCAAGCTTTCAGCGGGTCGCGCTTCTTCTGGCAACCCCTGCCGGCCTGAAGTACTCGATGGTCTTGACGAGGCCCTCACGCCGGCTTGGCCCACCCCATCCGCTCCACCCATTCCCCTCTCCTCCCTCCTCCACCCAACCCATTCCCCCCCCTCCCCTCTGCCCGTAGCCTGACGCTCCTCCCTCGACCCCAAGGGAGGGGGAGGAAGGTAAAAAGATGAGGGGGAGAAAGAGGAGAAAAAAAAGAGGAGCAGGAGGAAAGAGAGGGAGGAAGGAGGGAGGGAGGGAGGGAGGGAGGGAGGGAGGGAGGAGGAGGAGGAGGAGGAGGAGGAGGAGGAGGACAAGAAGGCGGAGGAGAAGGAAGAGGAGGAAGAAAGAGAAGAGCAAGAGGCGGAGGAGGAGAAGGAGGAGGAGGAGGAAGAGGAGGGAGGAGGCGAAGGTCTCGAACGACCCCCTGCGATTGCATCGGAATGACCCCCTCCAGAATTAGCTGATCGCGATGCTCACCGTACGGCGCAGAACGACGACACGCAGCCAAACAACCGTCACCTCCACCTGGTCGGTCCGCTTCGCGTTTTCACGATACGAGAGAGCCCGATGCACGAATGTGTTCGCGCCGCCGAAAATGCGAAGGTAGGAGGGAAGAGGAGGAATAATGGCGGGGAGGAGGAGGAGGAGGAGGATGGAGGAGGCTGGTCTAGCCCTCCTCCCCACCCCTGGCGTCCACTCCCATGGCCTGGCCCCGCCCCATATCTCTCCGACTTCAAACATCAGACCTCCTCCCCCCATCCCTCATACATAGGAGGAGCTCGACCACAAGAAAACGTCAACAACAAAACACAAACCCTGAGACCCCGAGACGTCCACTGACTTGTGGTGTGGGAACGTCACGTTTTCCATCGCAAAGTCATCGAACCAAGCAACCCAGGGCACCCTGGAGGCAAGCAGGGTGTTTCTTGGCATGGGTTTCTACTGTAGGGAGTTCGTTTTGCTAACACCCCCTCCCCCTTTGGGGAGGGGGTCCCTCCTCCCCCATACCCCCTCCCCGTGGGTCTGCCCCGCGCGGGGTGTCAGAGGGTCCTTTTTGGCCACAGATGGCCCGAAAAGGGCGCGCCAAAGAGCCCAAGGTGGCCTCCAAGATCGCTCAAGATACCCCCAGATGGTTCAATATCGCTTCCCACATGCCGCCAAGAACCCTTAAGACCGCCCCATGACGGCCCCACGAGAGGACGGATGCAAGGGGGATGGAGAAGGATGGAGCACGAGACACATTAGCAGGAGGGGGGCTGGGAGCGGAAAACACGTAGCAGAGCCAGGCTTGAGTCTGACGGCTGCCCCCGGTCTTCGGATTTATCAAAGCGACTATCGCGAATATCTGCGAAGGGTGGGCTGGCAGGAAAGCGCGAAGATTGGAAACGATGAGGGTGGACGGACCGGAAAAAGATGACTGAGGAATCCTGAGGGATCCCGCAGAATCCTGGCGAACGCTGTGGAATCCTCCGGAATCGTGCAAAAACGTTCACATAAACACACACAAAACAACAAACAAAAAAAAAAAAAAAAAAAAAAAAAAAACGGGGACCCTAGGGTATCCTAGGAAATCGTGAAGCATCCCCCAGGATCCTCAGGAATCCTGCAGACCCCAGTCGGATCCTGAAGAATCCCGAAGAATCCCCAAGTATCCGAAGGGTTCCCGAAGAATCCTCATGGTTCCTGAATGAAGTGTCTTGAGGCTCCTGAGGAGGCCTCATGAGTACCTGAGGAGCCCTGAGGAGCCCTGAAAAAAGCTTGAGAATCTTGCAGAATACTGGTCCGCCCTAATGAGTCTTCCAGAACACGGTAAAATCCTGGGGGATCCTGGGGAATCCTAAGGAGCCCCGAGGAAGCCCAGGAAACCCTTCAGAATCTTACTTAAACCTGAAGGGTCCTGAAGGAGCATGAAGAACCAGGGTCCCTCAGGTTCCCTCAAGATCGCCAGGCTGGGGGTCCTGAGGCATCCGAATGAATCCTGAGGAATCGAGAGGAACCCTGAGGCAGCCTGAGAAACCCGAAGGAATATTGAGGAACCCTTAAAATGAATTCCGACGAACCCTGAAGAATCCTGCGGGATGCAGAAGCAGCCAGAGGCACCCTGAGGTATCATGAGGACGCCATAAAGAACTTGACGAATCCTAAAGAACCCTGAGGACGCGTAAAAAATCAATAGCATGGAATCCTGAAGAACCCTGAAGAAAAGGAACCCTGAGGAACCATTCGGAATTCTGAGGAATCCGGAGAAACCCTTGCGAATCCTCAACAATCCCTAGGGCTCCTGGGGGATCCTGAGATTCCCTGAAAAGTCTAA